CTGTAGATTCAGGAGTATGATACTAGGATCTCCTTGGTCCTGGTGAAGGCTTCATGGCAAATGGGAAGAACACATGCAGAAGAGATCATCTTGTAAGATAGGAAGACTGGAGAAGGGCCAGGCTCTCTTTTTATGACAACCCAGTCTTTTTTTGGCGTGGTGGTGATAGTGGGGATTGTACCCAAGGCCTTCTCGGTGAGTTACACTCCCCATCTTTTCTTTGCCCCATTTTTTATTTTGAGACATTCTTGCTTAATTACCAGGTTCCCCAGGCTGGACTTAAACTTGAGCTCCTCCTGCCTCAGCCTGGCAGAGTGCTAGGTTTACAGGTGTCTGCCACCCTGGCTGACAGTCCATTCTTGTGGGAACTAATACTAATATACTGACCCACTCCCACAAACATGCATTAATCCATTCATGAGGGTGGACCTTCTCTGATCTAATTACTTTATACTAGCCCCCATCTCTGTAAGGTTCCACCACTCATTGCACCACTACCCTGGGGACCAAGCCTCCAGCACCCTGACCCTTTGGGCAACAAACTGTACCATCATCCTAGGCAGACACAGAGGGCCTGCTATATTGCACTAATATAAGGCCCCAGAGTTACTAAGAAATTTCGGACAGACTTTTCTTTCATGTGGGCTTGAAATCCAGTTTTTGGGGGGCTGGGGATGTAGCTCAGTGGCATTGCGCTTCCCTGGCAAGTAGAAGGTCTTGAGTTCGATCCCTGATACCAAAAAAAAATCCAGTTTTGGACCTAGAATTTCCTCTTCCTCTGTGGAATGTTGGATGGCAAATACAAGATAGCATCTGTTAAGTGCTCAGTTATTGGTATATGCAAGAAATACCAAGAGTTTAGGGCACTGATGCAGTTGGAAAAGGTCTCTTGGAGGTAATGACAGATAAGAAAAGAGTATAATAGACAAAGAGGAAAGTAGGGGAAGAAAACTTATTCAGAGGAGGAATAGGAGGAAAGACTTGACCTGCTTAGTGCAGTATTTAGCTGGGGAGGGATGAGGAGGGAGTGTCAGTGTCAAGAGTGGAGTAGTTGAGAGGTTTGAGAATTAAGAGATGAATTACAAAGATGGGAAGGAATGATGCTTGGAGTGCCTTAAAGTAATCCAGGAACAGTGTGTTAAATGCTATCATTGAAAACTCAGCAAGATTTGGAGAGCAGAAGACAGAATTGCATGTTGTTTGGAGGAATTAACCCCCCCCATACACCTGAGCTCCTGTTTATTGGAACTTTGAGGTGGAGAAGAGACATCCTGTAAAAACATAATTGGAGTTAGAGAACTATAGTTCTTTATGGAATTGAAGAGAACTTTCCAGATTGGTGACATAGTTTGAGCTATTTAGTCCCACACAATGAGTATTTGAATTGGTGTTATGGTTAATGCCTTCTCTGAAAGTAAGATCTTGATGGAGAAGGATTTGAAATCAGGAGTTAAAGAGGAAGTGCTAATCTAGGAAGAGAACAGCTAGAGTTACAGATGTTAGTTTCAGAGAAACTTTGAGGTAGGATAGCGAAAATAAGATGTAGTTGTGGAGAATAAGACCTGGATATACTTGATGTGATTAAAAAAATATGGTGGTGAATGTCTGAATTTTAAAAATTACTGTAAAAGACACATTGCCATTAATCCTCAAAATACTCCCCTTTTCCTTTGAACACACATGCCCCATTGTTCCTTTTTTAAAATTTTTATTTATTTATTTTTTGAGACAGCGTCTCACTGTGTAGTGCAGGCTGGCCTCAAACTCATGGTGATCCTCTTGCCTCAGCCTCACAGGTGCTGATATTACAGGTATGTGCCGCCATGCCTGGCCTATTTCATGGTTCTTATCACTTTCTGAGGCAGTTCTCCAAATCCCCTTTCATGAGCATGGTTAGTTGCACTGTCATAGCTGCCTCCGTGTCCTGAAGCAATTTAAAATGTTTACCTTTGATAGTCATTTTGACTGGGAAAGAGGCAGAAGTTGCAGGATGCTAGATCTAGTGACTTAGGTGGAACTGCCTCAGAAAGTCACAAGAATGATAGGATGTGTTCAAAGCGAAGGAGAGTATTTGAAGGGGATTAATATTAGGTAGTGTGTCTTTTACTGTAATGTATTCTAAAATTTATATTTACTATATTTTATTTATTTGGAGATGGTCTCATTTTGTAGTGCCGGCTGCCTTGAACTCACTATGTAGCCCAGGCTGGCCTCAAACTCTTGGTGATCCTCCTGCCTCAGCCTCTCTCAAGTGCTGGGATTACAGGCGTTTGCCACCACTCCTTACCATTAACCATACTTTAATTATACCTTGTAAATAAGAGATGGGCCCACCTGCTAAGATGGAAAAGAGAGAATAGCATTGAAAATTTGAACGATGTGGGACAGGATTGTGGCTGTTTTTAGGAGTCAGTACAGAATACAGTAAAAAAGTGCTGAATGGAAGTAGTGGCTGTGGTCAGTATGATCTCATACTTTTTATGACTAGCAGTACTTAGTGGCTCTGATTCAGGGATAAAGAAAGCAGTTGGCAAGGTTATACAAGATTGGGTGAGTTTTTCTAGATTGCTAAGAGACAGTGTTGAAATACTTGGCTCTAGCTCAGATGAGGACGGAGAGAAAAAAAAAAAAAGCCAAGAGTAAAAGTTATGAGCAAAGCTGTAAAGAGAACTTGAAGTGTTTGGAGAAGGTGGAGCAGTACCAAATGAGACTATAGATTTAAAACCTCACCAAGAAGTGGAGGGGAAGGTAACATGTAATAGTTCTAGGAACTGAGACCTCAAGGTAGAAGATGAATCTTTATTGTAGACATTTCTCTTTGAGAAAACAGAACAGAAAAATATGAATTAGGTGTAAATTCCAGAGCAGGATAATCTGTTTATACAGCATTTCAAATTTATAAATTTTACATGTTTTGCCTCATCTGCACAATGATGATGTGGGAAGATAGATATTGTACTTCTGTATTACAGAGGATGGAATTGAGGCATACCACGAGGAAGTTTGCCAGAGATGCGGTAGTTCGCTTTCCATAGCCATAGCTTCCGTATATGCAGATTCAACCAATTGCAGGTCAGAATACTCAAAAAACAGCCAGGTGAGGTAGTACATGCCTATATCCCCAGCACTCTGGAAGGCTAAGACAGGCAGATCACAAGTTCTAGCCCAGCCTGGACAATTTAGTGACTCAGCAACACTGTGACTCAAAAAATTAAAAAAGGGCTGGATGTGGCTCAATATGCAAAGACCCTGAGTTTGATCCTTGGTACTAAAAAACAAAAACAAAAAAAACCCATCCACCCCACAATGTGAAAAAAATTGTATCCATATGAGCTTGTTATCCCCCGAACAATACAGTATAGAAGTGTGTACATAGTGGGGAGGCTATGCATAAGTAACATGCAGATACTATGCCTTTTATATAAGGGATGCAAGCACCTGATATCCATAGTGGGGCCTGGAACCATCCCCATGGATACCACGGGTGTACGGTAGAATGGTAACTGAAGGCCAGATCGTAGGTTCATTTTGTCCTCATTCAGAGTCCAACAGTGGGGATTACCTAAAAAAATTTTTAAATGCATGTTGAAAGTAGTTAGAAATTTTGATACATATTACTAAATATTCTGGAAAACTGCACTAATTTGTATTCCTGTCAGTCGGGAATCTGACTATTGGTATAATTAGAAATTTTTATTTATGTATTTATTTATTTTTAATTAGAAATCTTTTTTAAATGCTAATTTTTCAATGCTGGAAGGGAAAGGAGAACTATAAATGACATTGACTGAAGTACACAGCTGATTACATATACTAGTGTCCTTTTTGTTTGTAGAGATAGGTTGGATTGTTTTCAAGATAAGGCAACATAAGCGGCAGTATAATTTTACCTAGTTCCAGCAGTCTTAGTTGAAATTTGGCTTAGCTTGAAGCATTATTAGTTTTGTGCGTCAGAATCTTGTTAGAAGAATTTGATTAAGCTTACCCTTCCATTAAAAATGGCTAAGAATATTGCCAACTTTTCTTTAGGTGTGGTCTCCTATTAGTGTTGAATGATATCTCACTTCCACCTGGGAGGTGAAGGGGGCGGACTATGTTGTTGAATTGTAAATATGAGCAAATAAAGACTAAATACTGTATTTAATACCTTTGTTTGTTGGGAAGATATCCCCTTGACCCGCAGTACTGGGGATTGAATCTAAGGCCTTCACATTGAGGTACATCCACAGCCCTTTTAAAATTTTTTATTTTGAGACAAGGTCTCTCACTAAGATGCTAAATAGCCTAGGCTGGGCTCGACCTTGAAGTCCTTCTGCCCCAGTTTCCCAAAGTACTGGGATTACAGGTGTGTACTGCCATACCCAGATTGGGTGTAATTTAAGAGAGTAAAGTTTTGAGAGAAAAAAGAAAGTATTTAATTTAATAGCTTTCACTTTGTTTTAGGATTAATGTATAAAGTATAAACTTTTCAGGTTAGTAAGACCCATGGGTGCCTTTTTTTTTTTTCCTGGAAGTTCACTGATTATTCAAAGAATGGATCTGGAAGTGATTTTATTTATTTATGTATTTTTGAAGTGATTTGAAAGATCCTTTATTCTGATTCTATCTGTAGTTCCTACAAACCCAAAAGGTTTAGATGTAGGTTAGAGGAGCTAAATATTTTGCCACCTCTGCTGAGATGTCCTGCACTGAGGTTGCTAGATTACAGTAATAGTGATCGGATTTTCCCTTTCTTCCTCTTTTCCTTTCCCCTTTCCCCTTTTCCTTCCCTTTCTCTTTCCCCTTCCCTTTCCTCCTCCCCCTTTTTTTACCCTTCCCCCTTCTCTTGTTTGCCTCCCTCTGGTCTCCCTTCTCTGTACTTCTTATTTTTCCACCTTATCTTCCTTTCTCATTTTAGGCCATATAGGCCAATCAAGGGAAGAGTTAATAATACAGAGATGTGAAGGCAAGCCTTATGATCTGAGGTGTACAGGAAGAATATTCTTTGACCTTAAGACATGCTGATTACGCTCTTTTCCTAGGATGCTCACAACTGTATTCCTGAGCTGGACAGTGAGACAGCCATGTTTTCGGTCTACGATGGACATGGAGGTAACTTTAGCAGATCACAATGGTAACATTCTAGGACTTCCAGTTCCAGAGTTCAAAGGGGAAGAAGAGGTCCTTTGTTTTCTAACTTTGCAGAGTTCTGACCCTGGGATTTTTTTGTTTTTTTTCTTTCCCGCCACTTCTTTGTCCCCAATAGAGTGTATTGGTTAATAACTCACTTAGTCCTTGAATTCAGAGTTTTCTCCCTATGTTAGCTGCCCCTCACCCCCAAAGAACTAAGTATAAAAGTTAGCAAAGACAATGGATACACTCCGAGGTGATAGCCAATCCATTTTAGTCAGAACTTCCCAAACTTTTGTCCCTCAAACCTGTCCTATTTAGATTTCAGGTGTGCTAATGTATTTATCCTCTCTGTCTTTGGAGTTTACTCCAATAAGGCAAATAAATGTTATATTACTTGCTGCGTATGGAAAGCAATGCCTCAAGTGACCTAACCTTTCTTCTAGGAGAGGAAGTTGCCTTGTACTGTGCCAAATATCTTCCTGATATCATCAAGGATCAGAAGGCCTACAAGGAAGGCAAGCTACAGAAGGTCTGTCCTTCCATAATGTTCATTCTACACTTTGTAGGGTTTCCCTTTTTCTAAACTTTGGCTTTTCCTTTCTTTTTGCTCCCTTGCTGCTGCTTAGTTACTGCATTTCTTCTTACAGAATTCTGTCCCTAAGCAAGCTTATTCCCACTTAGGTCTTTATAGACAGCTTTGTTAGTCCCAGGCGTCTGAACCATTTTCCCTTTCTGTGTCTCCTAGTGTGGAAGACTACACTTGAAATTGTATCCCATCCTTGTGCCCAGGATTATATATAGGCAATTCATTTTGTACCCATTGTACTCTTTCCTGCACTTTCCTTATACTGTTTGCTTACATTCAGGCTTTAGAGGATGCCTTTTTGGCTATAGATGCCAAACTGACCACTGAGGAAGTCATTAAGGAGCTGGCCCAGATTGCAGGGAGACCCACTGAGGATGAGGATGAAAAAGAAAAAGTAGCTGATGAAGATGATGGTGAGTGTGGCATCCCCTGTTTGAGAGGAAATCAGCATTTGATTTTCAGTTCTAAAAGAGGATGGCTTCCAGGGACCTGGAGAGTCCTCACATTAAAAAACCGTGTGGTCTCCTGCACTACACATGGTTATGAAAAAGAGGGAAAGAATTAACCTTTGTTGAGAGACTAGGTTATAGTTGTAAGCATTTTTTATATACATTATCTTTTTTCATTATGTTTGGGGTCTTCCAGGTTCCTGTTATTTATATGACCTTTTATTTTTGTTTTTGTTTTGTTTCAACACCAGAGCAGTCATTAGCCCCAGCAGTCAGTAAGCATGGACCAGAAGCTTAGAGTATCACTGTGGGCTTCCTAAGTCTTTAGTCAAAGTAGTGGTTTCAATTTACTAATAAATGAAAGATGAGAAGGAAATACAGTTACTAGTGTTTTTAGACTTAAGAATGGGGTGAAGAAAAGATCTATAAAGAAAGAAACTAGGGGATTTTCTTCTGAGAGTTGATAAGTGAGAGGAGTCTTAGTGGGAGGTCGTGGGGAAATAGGAATTCAGGCTGCAAGGGATGGTGAGGTAGAGAGGGACTGATTCCATGAGGAGTCTTGCAGGGGCTCTGATTTAGCCTCTTCCCTGCAGTGGACAATGAGGAGGCTGCATTGCTGCATGAAGAGGCTACCATGACTATTGAAGAGCTGCTGACACGCTACGGGCAGAACTGTCACAAGGGCCCTCCCCACAGCAAATCTGGAGCTGGGACAGGCGAGGAACCAGGGTCCCAGGGCCTCAATGGGGAGGCAGGACCTGAGGACCCATCTAGGGAAACTCCTTCACAGGAAAATGGCCCCACGGCCAAGGCCCACACAGCCCTTCCCTCCAGCTTGGAACGTGGGACTGAGGCAGGCCAAATTGGTGAGCCTGGCACTCCCACTGGTGAGGCTGGGCCTTCCTGCTCTTCAGCCTCCGACAAGCTGCCTCGAGTTGCTAAGTCCAAGTTCTTTGAGGACAGTGAGGATGAGTCAGATGAGGCGGAGGAGGAAGAGGAAGACAGTGAGGTAAGGGCCTGTGAGGGCAGGCAGATACTGAAGTTGTAGAAAGGGCCTGTTTGGTTGCCGTCTGTAGTTTTCAGCTCTCTTTCTCTCCTTTTCTGACATCATTCCCAAAGATTCACTGTGTTCTGAGCTTTAGCCTTCTTGAGGGCATTATCTCCACCATCACAAGTACCATTAGCCCTCGTACTTCTTCCTTTGTCAACAGTATAACAGCCCTAGTTCTCGTCTTTCTGAGTCTGTCTCCAAGAGGGAGACTAAGAAGGTGGTTCTTGTTACTTGGATATTTGGGTGTTTCCTTCTCTGGACAGTGTATTTTCTGGCCATGTTACACAGAGGTGCTTTTTGTGCTTGCAGCCCTGGCCTTTCCCAGGACTTCTTGCTGATGATGCTAAGCACAGTTCTGTTAGTTATATTTGTCCTAGTCCTCCCCTACCTCAGCTTTTCGTGATCATGTGGTTGTATCATTCATTGTTTTCAGGACCTTTGTTGAGTCAGGGCCTTTTGTGTTCTGATGAATTGGGGGGAGGGGGGCAAGGAGTCATCCCAGTGTCAGCAGCCTGGGATCCTCCACCTGGCAGGAATGCAGTGAGGAAGAGGATGGCTATAGCAGCGAGGAGGCAGAGAATGAGGAAGATGAGGACGACACCGAGGAGGCCGAAGAGGATGATGAAGAAGAGATGATGGTGCCAGGGATGGAAGGCAAAGAGGAGGTTTGTGGAAATTTGTGTGGTAAATCTTTTTGGGGTAGAATTCTCTAGAAAGGGGAGGAAGTACACTGCTTTGCCCGAGCAGATGAAATCTGTGCTCTTCCTGTTTGTTAAAAGCTCTAGCATAGGTGACATAGGTCAAGAGTGCATTAAGGAGGAAGTCATGTCCAGAAGCTCCCATACAATGCTTCCTTTTTTCCCTCTTAAGCCTGGTTCTGACAGTGGCACAACAGCAGTGGTGGCTCTCATACGAGGAAAGCAGTTGATTGTAGCCAATGCAGGAGATTCTCGCTGCGTGGTATCTGAGGCTGGCAAAGCTTTAGACATGTCCTATGATCACAAACCTGAGGATGAAGTGGAGCTAGCACGCATCAAGAATGCTGGCGGCAAGGTCACTATGGATGGACGAGTCAATGGGGGCCTCAACCTCTCCAGAGCTATTGGTAAGGGCTAAGAAACTATGGGACAGACTTCCAGGTTTTTGCTTTCTTTCCCAGAATACCTAGCAGTAAACTTGAATTTTCATACCCCTAATACCTTTTAAAGTACTTCATATCTTCTACTTCTGTCCTTAAACATCTTTATGAGGATAGTTTAGGTAGATATCATTGTCCTCAGTGCCTTTGGGATGATGACTGGATGATGGAGGTGATTGACTTAAAGTTTAGCAACCTGATGATGGGACAGACTAGAAAACTAGAACCTAGTTCTCCATTGCACTGGATTATGGAACTTTATAAAGAAAAAATAGAGAAATTTTTTTTTAATGAATGAAGCTGGAAATGATGGTGCACAACCATAATCATAGCACTCAGAAGACTGAGGCAGGAGGATTGCAAGTTCAAGGCCAGCTTGGGCTAACTAGTAAGTTCAAGGCCACCCTGAACTACAAAAAAGAGTGGCGGGGTTTGACCTGCCTCAAATATAATTCTGTGGGAAGTATTCAAACTTCTTACCAAACAACCCTTCTTTTCCTTAAGGAGACCACTTCTACAAGAGAAACAAGAACCTGCCACCTGAGGAACAGATGATTTCAGCCCTTCCTGACATCAAGGTGCTGACACTCACTGACGACCATGAATTCATGGTCATCGCTTGTGATGGCATCTGGTGAGCACTGGCAGAAAGCCCTCAAATGTCCTTTCTGCAGCATTTCTCCTGTGGGGCTTGGAGCTCCTGTAGGGTTAGATCCTAGACAGAATACTCAGTGAATTGAGATCACTAAGCCAAGGCAGAGCTGAGGAGAATTTCTATAGGTGTTGACATCAGTCCAGGTCACCCACCACCTCTCTACACTGTCTTGGAGAGACTAAAGATTCTGACTGTTGTTTTGATCCCAGGAATGTGATGAGCAGCCAGGAAGTTGTAGACTTCATTCAATCAAAGATCAGCCAGCGTGATGAAAATGGGGAGCTTCGATTATTGTCATCCATTGTGGAGGAGGTGAGTGGGAGTGGAGAAGAGGAGTGACTGATGTCACAGCCAAGGTTTTCTCTTCTCCCTGGAGCTAAGCCTGTTAATTAGCAGCAGATTCCAGACCCTGATTAAGGTTTCACCTTCCTTCCTGCCCTATGGCTCACTGACTAGAGAGGGGAGTGTTTTGTGGTACGTATTGCCCATTCTTCTACCACTCTGTCTCAGCAGGGCCTGCCCTCTTGTGGGACTCTGGGTTCCCGGGGAGGTGGTTAAACCCTGTGGCTGAGCTGACCCACCCTTTTTGTAGCTGCTGGATCAGTGCCTGGCACCAGACACTTCGGGGGATGGTACAGGGTGCGACAACATGACCTGCATCATCATCTGCTTCAAGCCCCGAAACTCAGCAGAACTCCAGTCAGAGAGTGGCAAGCGGAAACTTGAGGTGCTCTCCCCTGAGGGCGCTGAAGAGAATGGCAACAGCGACAAGAAAGCCAAGCGGGACTAGCAGTCATCCAGACCCCTGCCCACCTAGACTGTTTTCTGAGCCCTCCGGACCTAAGACTGAGTTTTGTCTTTTTCCTTTAGCCTTAGCAGTGGGTATGAGGTGTGCAGGGGAGCTGGGTGGCTTTCCGTGGCCCGTGTCAGAGAGGGCTCTTCCTCCACACAGCAGCCTGGGAGCTTCTGCTGTCCTCCCAGCCTCCTCCGATCCTTGGGCTCATCACCGGTTCTGTGCCTGTGCCCTGTTGTGTTGGAGGGAAGGACTGGCGGTTCTGGTTTTTACTCTGTGAACACTTTATTTAAGGACATTCTTTTTTATTGGCGGCTCCATGGCCCCTAGCCGCTTGCACCCGCTCTCTGTTGTACACTTTCAATCAACACTTTTTCAGACTAAAGGCCAAAACTTAATCGTGCCCATGGTGTGCTTCTTTTCTGTGGACCCGGCGCCAGTCTCGGCCACACGGGGGAGCCTCTAGCGCGCCCCTCCCGAGCGGTGCGAGCCGGCGCGTGGCT